GGTCACATATTACGTAAAATGGCAACTTTTCAGGCGAGAAGTTTAAAGATTCTACCAATGGAATTGGTCGATATCGTGTTTATGCTTAAATAAGAGAGTTATAAAATTTTGCATATACATAATTTGTTTTATGTACTTTGTGTTATTTATAAGACTTTCATGTGATAAAAGCACTTTTGAGGTATGATCACATGTGGCTTTATTGTACTAAAATGTGTATGCAATATTCTTTCCACAGTGATTTTACCATTTGAAATACATAGAAAAATTATGAACAAATAGCGAGGCACAAGAGTTCAGAAATTAATTTTTTTATTACACTTAATTTCTTTCTGTTTTACATCATAAGTACCATTCTATAAGCTATAAATACTTTAACTTTTGAAAGTTGTTTAATAAAATTGACAAATTGCAGGTTAATATAGTAGAAAGCAACATCTGCACAATAGCTGTGTTAGTAAGTAATTACTTACCCACATATAGTTACAGTCATAAAATTCCAACCCGTTATTTCACACCATTTAATCTTTACAAAAGTTTTTGAGGTACTATATGAATTGTTAAATAAAAAGGGTTTTAAGAGCAACGGGTTTTTTCCTTTATTTGTTTACTAACCATACCACGTTCAAGTGTGTCTGCGTTATTTAAATAATACACGAGTTATTAAGAAAATGAAACAAAAATACTTTTATGACAAAAAATGTGAATCGCGAGAACAAGAATTCACACACGCTATCAAACATACTCTTCGTAACTTTTCACAGTCACAAATTCAGACTCCAGTTTAAATGTCAAGATGACGGGCCATTTGTGGAGCGCAAAAGAGAAGTTTTACAATCATTAAAACCAGTAACACAATGCATGAAATTCCTTGGTGTGTCTTTGAATGACGATCACTATTAATGGCTGTACAGAGTCCTTAGGTTACTTACTACGTTGTGGACATATTTAGGTCTTCTGCTTAGTGATAGTTCCCAAGCTTCTATAGCTACTGTATTGTGAGTGAGAAGAACTCATATCTTGGCAATCTATTTATTATCATTGTTGCTATAATAAAAACATAAACCTCCACTAGATACAACAAATTTCTTCCTGCCGTGACTATTCAATTGTTATTTCTTTGGCTCTAAAGGGACGCAAAATGTAATCACTACGATATATTGAGTTACATATATAATTATTATAACTTTTATATTAAAAAAAACGACTAAAAGTTTGCTTACCGGCTTTTTTATTGAAATTTACAATTTACATTTGCCAAGTTTTATAGATATCGGTTAATGAAAAGTGCGCGAAACCGGATTCATTTTCTAGTTTGCTACCCTTAGGGGAATATTGAATACTGAAGTGCCTAACATTCTTTCAAACAAAAAAAATATCAAAATCGGTTCAGAAATGCCGGAGGAATCGCGTAATACAAAAGTCGAATTGAGAACCCCTCCTTATTTTTGGAATCGGTTAAAAATATAATTGAAAAACGTTAAGAATGGGTATAAAAACTTTAATCAATTTTTGTCCATGTTGATCAACAATCGTTTGCCATCTTTCAGATGATTTTAGAAATCGCCTTGCATAAAAATGTTCTTTTTACTTATAAAATATAGCTGTAAGTATAGTTAAATGGTATTTTCGTTATTAAACCCATGTCCACAAAGAATTTCGTAAAGACCACAACAAGTGACAACCTGTAGGGGCTTTGTTGGGCGCTTATTCCAACTTATGTACAATACATATCTCTTCTAAATCTTTTGCTTTATCTTTTTCATTACTTTTTCCTGAAAAAATTGTTTTGTGACAGCTACAAATTCTTCGTAATTTAAAAGAAATTTAGGTTCAAAACACCATTATTACTTGAGTCGTTAAGATAAGGCCACATAATGCAAAATGATAACTTTTCAGCCGAGAAGTTTTACCAATTAAATTTGTCGATAACTTTTGCTTAATTTTTAAGTTTATTGAATGTCACACCATGATATGCAATTATTTTTGTGGAATTACTCCACTTAATTATTAATACAAAGATCGAACACTCAGAAACAATTGAAACCCTCTAGATTCGAACCAACGTCTTCCAGCAAACCGCACCAGACGCTATGTCAACTAAGTTGCAGAACGGACTAGAATGAATTTTCCTATGTACTTGTTGGAGATCTTTGTTTTTGGTTTATAACTTTTTATGCTTAAAGAAGAAACTTATAAAATGTTACATTTATATGTAATTTGTGACATGTAGTTTCTATAAGTTTTATGACATCATTGAGATAAAAAAAAAACACATTTGACATATGATCACATGTGGCTATATTATACCAAAAGTCATGTAAATATTTCTTTCAATAATTTGAAAGACAATTTGTAATTTGAACACAAAATTATATGAATTATTGACAAATAGTAGGCCCAAGAGTTCAGAAATTAGATCGTTTTTTATTAAGAACAAACTTATAATTCTTACTACATTCTATCAACTATCAATACTCAACCTTTGAAAGTTGTAAAATACGATAGTTATATAGTCATTAGTAAAACAAATTGCAGGTTAACATTAGCAGAAAGCAACAATGAAATAAAAGTTACTGTATCACTTACCTACATAATGTAACAGATATAAAAATATAACCCATTATTTGACATCATTTAATCTTATAAAAGTTTTTGAACGTCTATATGAATAATTAATCATTAATACTTAGTTGTTAAATTAAGGGTTTTAAAGCAAAGGTTTGATTTTTCCGTTATTGGTGTACTAACTGCTGCAAGTGCTTTTAACTCTTTTGTTCTTTTCTTCAATAATTTAAATAATAAACGAGTTACGGGTAAAATAAAATAAAAATATTTGAGTTTATGATAAATCGCAGGAATCATTATTCACAAACGTTACTATACGTACCCTACATATTTATTTACAAAATCATAAATTTTCCAGTCTCTTATTTTACAACAAACGTCAACAGATTTCTATTGAAATCATATTCAGTTTAAAAATCAAAATGGCGGCCGATTTGTCGAGTGCAGAAAGATAAGTTTTACAATCTTTAAAACCCGTAACTCTATGCATGAAGTTTATTGGTGTGTCATTGAATGACCATCATGGTTCCTTGCTGAAAAGATTCCATAGGTTGTTTGTTGCGTTATGTAATGGTGCTATGACGAGTAGTGTGTGCGTATATTTAGGTCTTCTGCTTAGTGACAGTTCTCGTGCTTCTGTGGCTGCATTTGCTACCTGCGTACATGTTATTGGCTACGGTATCTTGAGTAAGTAGAAGTCATATCTTGGCAATCTATTTATGGGGGAAAGGGGCCACCACGCACGACGTGCAATACCTTTTCTGTACGTCTGGCGTACCCTGGCCAACAATCGGCGAGTACCTTACACCGATTGCCAAATCCTTTCACCACGATGACAAACATTACAGTGTATGCGCTCGATACGATGAGAAGTATTTATTTATTATCACTGTTAGGAAATAAAATTATTTTTCCGGATTTAAACCTTAGATTTACAAATTTGTGTTTTCAAACAAACCAACGTCTCGGGCCCTTTACAGGCCCCCGATTCAGAACTCTTCGATATTTTAACCGAATCGTTCGATTGGATAGCGTTCTCGATCTCGAATCGACGGGCGCTTCCCGAGCTATTCAGAACATTCCGAGTTAAACGTTCGATTCGGATTCGGATACGGGGGTCTACTCTCGATCTCTATAAGTAATATTCGACAAAATTAAAAGACAAATATCGAGTATGAAGCCTCATTCGCATCACGCGTCTTTTCATTTGGTCAAGCATTGCTTATTTGGCAGCAATTGTTTCGGACGGACGTCTGACGGAGATCGAGAGTAGACCCCACGATATCTTTATCCAAGAGCGTTTACGGAGTTAGTCGGTGAAATAGATTACAAGAAAAATGAAAATCCTTTTATATACATTTTTAAGACTTTAAAGGTCTAAAGTAGAGAGATGCTTTAATCTTGCATTAAAATAAATTAATAAAATTGAACATAAGACTTTATTTAAAATAATAAGAGATTTCCATTTTACATTCTTGCTTAGTAAACAATAGGATATTCGGTAACTTTCATTCGATAACTGTGTTCTGAATAACGTTTGTAGCTTTTGCCTGTCGAGAAATTCGAGTAATCGTACGGGTGTGACGTCATTTCGGTTCGGTTTCGAATACGACAGTTTGACGTTCGATTCGGGTGTTGTGAATAAAAATGAAAAGAATTTTTTTTTTAATAATAACGCACACACTCAACATAGCCCCGCACTAGGGAAACCCTGTGTCGCGGCTGCCATGGACACACGCATAGACAACCACAAATTACACCCAAACTCACGAGAGAAATAAATGTAGGTCATACAAATATTTCTCCCGGCCCGGGAATCGAACCTGGGACCTCTGCGTGGCAGTCCGGCATGGTAACCGTTCGGCCACGGAGGCAGTTAAATCGTACGATATCAAATCGAATCGGTCGACAATTGAGTTATCGTAAAGATCTGAAACGACCTACAGGTTCCATAGTCACGGTTGACGATATAAACCCGGAAAAATAGTTTCATTTCTTATGTGTAACAATCGCGAAAACCTAAGAAACCGATATTATCACGGTTGCTACAAAACCTTAAGACGCTTCCCCGAGCAAATGACCTTGAACATTCGCGCCCCTCTTACCGCGCTTCACCTCTACAATCTTTCGTTGAATTATCTATCCATTAATGTAAGTCTCAAATGAAAATGATGTTTACTTAAAGAGCAGATGCTTAAATTCAAACTTTCTCATTTGTATTGGGTTTTTATAGGAAGATTTCATAAATATTTACTCAATTTTTAAAAATCCATAAATTGGGCCCATCGGGTAATATGAAGACAACATTCAGAAGATTTTTGATTATATATTTTTTTCTTTAAATAACGACTAGATTGCTACTAAAACAGTAGATAAAACGGCGAGCGCAGCGTTTTGCTCAGGTACGCGCCTTAAACTCCACTGTTGTCAGCATGGAAGGTATTTGTTCTAAATACAACATAATTTTTAGCTGTTTCATTGTTATTTTCGTAATTCTATTAATGGAGCAAAATACAACTACTACAATGTATTAGATTGGCCAAAAGTCCTTGTGGTATCAAAGTTTAAGTGAAAAACACAAAAATATATATCAAATTTTAATCAATGAAATATTGGCCTACAACCTACAATCTTTTGCAATTTTAGAATTTGCCTTTCATATTAAAACCTCGCATTTAATTATGAAACACAGCAAGTATCGTGTGATGGTCTCTTCGTTATCAAAGTGGTGTCCATTCAAAGAATTTTGTAATGACCGAAACAAATAAAAATTTTATTTGTTTCTCAAGGACTTATTTCTGGTGAGTGCGGTGGATGAGGCAATAATATATACAATACACCCCATCCGATTGCAGTAGTTTTTGACGGCTTTTTACAAATATATATGGTTTGGTATTATCATGACGAAATACTTCACCTTATGTTTCACCAGTTCTAGCAGTTTTTCATTAATTATAAACTGTTTGTAAACTATTTGTTTATTAGTAGTAGAGCTCCTGTTTATTAGTAGTAGAGCTCCTTGTGGAAGAGTTTGTTCAGGAAAGTACTGCCACCTTACGTATTTCTGCCACCAAGCAGTAATGTTATCATTACTGTGTTCCAGTTTTGAAGGGTAAGGGTGCTGGCGAAATTACAGGCACATGGGATTTGTCAACTTATGTCTCAATATGTCGGGCGCAGTGACAGTGCCCCTCACATCTTTGCGGATTTAAATCTCTGAGTGGCACTACAACTGTTATGGACAGCCGTGTAGCTTACCATCAGGCGCACGACTTCTTCGTGCCGTCACTTGATATTATAAAAAAAAACTAAAAACTTCCTGCCTATTATAAAAGTTCTTGGTATTAAAATGATCATACAACATTTTAAAAGAAAACGTACAAAAACCGCAAGGATTGTTTGACCAACACATTACATATTTTTTACACCCTAGAGTCAAATTTCGTGGTACTCTCTAGGTTCACTTCGATATAGCTATGAATCAAGCATCTGAACAGTTTTTCACTTGATATAACCATAATAAGTACAGTCAGCTTATAAATTCACTAGACGTTGTATTTTGAATGAAAAGTTTTTTAAAAAGGTGTAATTCTAAATAGATATTAATCTTAGTCGGTTAATTTTACCGGTCTTTATTTATGTCTATTTTATCTTCTTTTCTCTATAACTTAAGATAAACTGGATGATCTTTTTAATCTATAACTGTATCTAATTGTGTTCGATTTTAGGTAATATCAAACTTCAACTACTTTTTCTTAAGCAACCAGTGTACAAAAAGTTGATCAAGGACCTAATGGAGCTCTGGCCTGTCGTCACTGACAATGAAGAAGCCGCGGAAATCAAACGACAGAGTCTACGGGCGCTACGATTTGGCAGCTATTGTAAGCGCATTTATTAGTTCATAAATTATAAGTTTGTCTCTAAGCAAAATTCGGGTACTGAAAATTTTTGTGGAGGCATAAATCCACTTATAGTAACATTTATATGTAAGCATTTTTGCATGACTTTAATAAATGTGTTATGTAGTTAAATAAATAAATAAAAATGGCCTTTATTCACTGATTACTTCTAAATTAATTCTAAGTCTAACCTAATGCTTACTTCTAACTGTATTAATTCTTAATTCTGGCATCGGTTCTGGTTCTAATCAGGTTGTCTTCTGACAAGGGCCTCTTCCATATTTCTCCCTAAGTAACGGATGTTGCGTAGTAATGTAGTTAGTGTATGTAGTTAGTTCTTCGAAATTCCTCTGTCAACATTTTTGCGGCTTGTCCGCTGCCTCGACATGCTGCCGATCGCCTTTAAAAGTACTTAACGTAAACATTTATTTTTCAGCCTTTATTGCCGTAAATATGTTCGGAGGGATATTTTATAACGGCACGCCTGTAGCTATCCATTTCTACAGGACATTACACGGAATTCCCTCAGATCTTGGCTATGCTTGGAATACTGTCTATCCTTTGGACAAAACCAAGCCCGTTTATCATGAACTGACATATTTATATGAGACGTACACGACAAGTATGTTTTATTAAAGTGCACTTAAGTTGATCGTCTTTATACTTATTATGAATCATTTGTTTCGGCAACCAATAATATTCCTTTGCTATGACGAGATGTCAAAATAACTAAATACTATTGGTTGACGAAACACTGATGTTATTTGCTTAGTTTGTAACCGACTTTAAAAAAAGGAGGAGGTTCTCAATTCGACTGTATTTTTTGTATGTATGTTATGCGATACCTCCGGCATTTGTGAACCGTTAAATTTGAAGGAAATATAAACTAGAGGATGAATCCGATTTCGCACACTTTCCGATAACCGATTTCAATTAAACTTTTGCAAATAGATGTAATTCCACGAACTTTTGAGGTCTGTTTTTTTAGTATGCTGTACCGAGATTATCTTATGTTATTATCTGTATAAAGGACATCGTTCAATCAATGTTCTAACCGTAACATTGTAAGTGGTTTTACGGTCTTGCTAAACTGTATTAGATTGAACTTTTTTTTTAAATTTCAGTGATGGTAGCTGTACTTGCTATGGCAGGGTCAGATTTGTTATTCACCTCCATATCGAGCCACATCACTTTACTCCTGCGTCTTCTTCAGCTAAAAATACGGAGTTTGGGAACCGAACCGAACGAGTTTTCTGGCCCCGTAGATTGTTATGAAGAAACCATATCTGCAATCAAAATTCATCAAAAACTTGTTAGGTAAATTTTAAATAATAAATTTTTAACCAAGGTATGTAAAGGAATTGCATCCTTGTTGATAGTTGTTTTGTACATTTCCGACTTTTTAATTTTATTTTTATTTCGAATGTTTTATTGTCGGCTGATGCAGTAGCAAAGAACGAAATTGTTAAAAGAAGATCTTCTTTGGGCTGAATTAATTATTAATATTTCCTTTATTTATATGTTTCAGTTACACTAACGACGCGGAGGCTCTATTTTCCCTGTTGAATTTGGTTAATGTTCTTTTGAGCTCTTTTATTATCTGTTTTGTTGTTTTTAATATCGTGGTAAGTTTAAGCTACAATTAGGTATCTAATATCAACTTGTATAAAGTCCCTCTTTTACCTTAAAGTTTCATGACAAATTCAAAAGAAGCACAATAATGTTTAATTCATATTTTGTTAAACTTTCTTCGTCTTTTATCATAGAGTAGGCACCACATTCAAGACTGACGTTAAAATTAGTTTTTTCCAATTTTAGATTCTCGAACCATGGTACGTTATAAGCAGTAAGTTTTTTTTCGCAGCGGTGTTAAGTGAAATGGGAATAATATGTTGGTATGCTGATGAAATTTATAGAGCTGTAAGAATAATTGTTTCTCTTATACAACAGCACATGAATCCTTTCTAGCAGCATCTTGCAGAGAGACTGTGTGTGTGTGAGATGGGTGGTTGAAGATTTTTATTTTTTTTTTATGATACCAAATGATGGGATGAACAACTCGTGCGCCTGGTGGTAAACTACACGGCAGTTTAAAGCAGTTGCAGTGCCACTCACTTTTAATCACAAAGATCTGAGGAGCACTGCCACTGCACCCGTCATCCAGAAACATAATTTGACAAGTTCCATGTGCTTGTAATTTCACCAGCACCCTGGTTTTCAAAACCGGAACACAGAACTACTCACATTACTGCTTGGCGGCAGAAATATGTAAGGTGGCCGTATTTACCTGGACGAACTTTTTCACAAGGAGCTCTACTGCTAGAAAAAGTATTCTTATTGTGTCTATTTCATTGTGTAATGTAAATATTCTAAAGATATTTTATATTAATATATGAAATATAATGACAAATACTGATGCCACTGTGCTGTTCTTCACGCATTCCTTCTGTAGTACAGGCTATTTGTTTATAAAGATTTGTACAGAAGAGAACTTTGCACAATGATATTTTAACAGAATAAATATATTTTTAAGTCAATTCATTTTGTTCTTAATTGTTAAAACAGTATTCCAACAAACTATTTCTCTGAATATACCTGGTATTCTGAGAAACTATAAAATACATCATTTATTTGTGCGACAGTACCTCTGCTTGGCCACGAAACATAACTCTCTCTATCTCTCTCTCAAGACCCTTTTCAAGCGAATATGACGTTATAATTACGTTAATTCATTTATCCACTTAGGATTTGGTACTCCGCCATATTTATTCATGGGTGTTGGGATGCCTCCTCTTCAATTGGTAAAATCTTTATTGCGATTGTCAACTTATATTATTGCTTATCCTAAAATCTTCGTCGTGCACTAGTCTGATAGTGTATGTGTTATGTAGACACCACATTTTATTACCTTTATATTAATTACATTGAAATCTGTAGCTTGGTTTTGCTCAACATCACAGGATCGAAGTTGCTACTTTTAAGTTCTTCAATGTTACTTTTCACTTAAAACGTCCTTTGTGGGATGTGGGTAAAACTTGCTGTGTAGGTATATCCTATTAGGAAACGTGTAAAACGTCTCAGGCATGGAAATGTGTAGTAAAACCTGTTGTGTAGGGAAAGTAAAAAAAAACTTACGTAGGGACGCCTTCTGTACGAATGCTTAGTAAAACGTCCTATGTTCATATTATGTAATGGATCTACCATTCCAGCCAAAGGGTCAGGACAATGAGTCCCTTATCCCTTGTTTTACCTGTAGAGACGGGCGGTAACATGCGTTTCACCGATTTACACTGTACCTAGTAAATTATGACTTTAAACACTCGCCTGAAGAATGTATTTTTGCTTGAGATTTCTGATCATCTTGGTTGGCTGGTATTTATTTCACAGAGTTTGGCAGTCGCTGACTCGGTTTATGAGAGTGGTTGGCATAGGAGCAACCCACGTAGTCGACGAGCTATGTTCATGCTGATTTTGAGGTAGGTACGGATACGTAAAAACAATTTCTCTATATGAATATTTTCCTCTTTACTAGTGAAAACGTAATTTACTCATTGTTTTTTTTTCTGTTTCAGGGCACAAAAACCAATCTGTTTTACAACCATGAAATTTACAAATATTACTCTTACAACTTACGGCTCTGTACGTATTTCAAAGATGTATTTAATATTTATTAGTTGTACTACAAATACTAATTCGTAATTGTTTGGTTTACAGACACTAAGGAACGCATATTCTTACTTCGCGCTGTTGTACACCATGTATAAACAATAAATGAACTGTATTTTGTATAATTAATTATGTACCTACGTAGTGCATTAATGTAGAATATAGTTCTAACTTTAGCAATTTAAAAAACCAGCAATGTCACCACTACACTGTACAATATGTGTATATTTGTACGCACTACTGCAATACATGGACGAGAATTACAATCATTATTATTATAATCAAATCGATCTATTTTATTTTCATAATATACAGGTAAGGTACAATAATAGCTTAAATACTTAAAAGTAAAACTAGGATTAAATTATATGAATAAACTTGGGTCCCCGTGGCAATGTGCCCTAGATGCTGGTAGCGTTTCCTCAGATGAAGAAGGGCACCGGAACCCCAAAGGCCAAGGGTTTCGATTCCAAAGGGTGTAAATAGTTCGACTAAAGGTTGTGGCAACTCGTAATTCTGTTTAAAATCACTAGGGGCGGTATAATATTTACTTACTACTACTTCCAGAGTATAATATCCTACGGGAATCACATGTGTGGTAATGCGACAGATATACAAACCAAATTTGTGTTGCAAAAACGAGCGATTCGTTCTGTGTATCGTTTTTAGGTTCTAGGGTTTTGCCCAGAGAAAAGTTTAAGGAGACTGGTATCTATACTGTGGCAACACATAGTACATTTACTTAAATATTTCGTATGCCTGTAAAAATATACATAATTTCGTTGAGAAAGAAGATATCCATAATATTAACCTTAGAACTAAATCGATACGCGCGGTACAACGATTTCGTTTAACTAAGGTAAAAGATTGTTTTATGGGGAACTGTATACGTTTTTATAATAAGATTCCGGTGCATGTACGAGTATATGGATTACCATTTCTTTAAAACTTTTTTAAATTGAAATATAATATTACTAAATTGTAGATTTCGTATTAGATAAATATGAGTGGAAAGATAACATGAGTCTAGATTCCACACAAATATGATTAAAAATGTATTCTATAGCATTTAAGTTTATTTGAAAAGAGAGAGAGAGTTTCTTGCTCGTGCTTCTCAGGGAAGGCAGCACAGTGAACGAACAGTAGCTTATAAAATGACGTCTTCAAGTGTAAAAAATTTACCTATGGAATAAATTATTACTACTTGACTTGACTGACGTTACTTGTAGTAGATGATCTGGACCTTAAAACTCTCAGATCTGTTAATGTCAGTAAAATAAATTGATTTTTAACTTCCCACAACCTGTCGAGAGTCTAAACCCAACTATATTGTAAGACAACAATAAATTATACCATTGTTTTGCGGTGGCCGGAGATAGTGGGGTATCTGATTTATTGAGGACATTTACCCTGAAGAGGGGACGTTAGTGGCGAACTCCTGAGTGATTGCCAGCGTCGTCAAAGCTCAGCTTCACTATTAACTGTCTTTTGTTTTTGCTCTTTAATATCTTATAATATTCCAATACTTTATATTTATTGATCATCATCATAATTTTTTTATGATATTCATCCATATTTAGTGGAAATACTCCACTAGTTTGTTATTGTTATTAATAAAAAGATCCAACAACACAAAGGAAAATTCGTTCGACCAGGCTGGACTCGAACCAGGACTGGAGCCTCAACGTGGCTACCGCTTGTTTGTTACGGATCTTTGTGTTGGGTTTTAAACGATTTGTAATATTGTTAATTACGTCCATAAATTTTTCTTTCGAGGCTATTTGAAGGTAATAAAATTAAATTGTATTGACAAACTAATTTAAAGAATAGGACCCGTTTCTTCGTTTCTGTTTAAATACAAAACAATACAATACAATACAATACAAAATGCTTTATTTCTCTCAAAAAGGTTTACAGAATGCAGATTTGTTACATTTCATGTTAAATATGAAGCACCTTAGTGAGAGCTGGAGTCTGTACTAGATTGGGGAGCTGTGTTACAGATCACCAGGCTCACACCCTTTTGACAAGTTTATCAGAAAAGTAACACTAATAAAATTTAATAAAAATAATGAAAATTAAAGAGTAAAATAAAATTGATAGCTAATTAGAATATAAAACAAAAATAGAAAAAATAGAAAAATCTCTGTGCGTGTGTGTTTGTGTGCGTGTACGTGTGTATGTGTGTGCGCGCGTTGGGGTGTATATATGTGTAATATAAATTATTTTAGTATAGTTAATAGTTTTTCAGTCGAGTCATAATTATTGTGTGTGATCAGCCAGTCAGTAATATTTTTTTTACATTTCGCTCTGCATAAGGGGTAGACATTAAGAATACTGTTTAT